AATAATATTATTTATTTTCAATTTGAATTTCAAAAACTGAAATTTGTATATCATGAAGCATGTGCAGAGCTTGATAAAACAAACTAAATAAATAATAGATTTTTATTTATTATAATGTTTTTAATTTCTTATAATTTTTTTTTCTTTTTAGAGTTAGTTCCTCTTAATAAGAAAATTAAATTAATGACTAGAATATTATATACAAGACAGCATGTATATAATAAGAAACTTATATTTGATCCAGATGAATTCAAAAAAATGCTTGAAAAAACTAAAAACTATTTCTAAAAAGTTTTTTAATCAATTAATAGCAGGAATTAATCCAAAAACAAAAAGCTATTTGACTAACAAAAAAAATAAGAAAAGACTAATTTCTTTTTGTTACTTTTTAGCAAAGCTTAATAATAAATTCATTAACAAAATTAAAACAGAGATTGGGTATCTATTTGATATGTCTGGTACATCATCTTCAACAATAGAAATCTTAGCTAATAGTGACTTAATAATATAGTATAAAACTATTTTGTAACAGAAAACCTAATATATAAAAATGCAAATAGTAACAGTAGGAAGTTTTCTATTGAATAATGTAAGCCTAAGAAAAGATTAAGGTATGCTTAAAATAATTTTCAATTAACTAATGTATTCTGATTAAAATGAAAAGTTAATCATACTTAATGCTAATAACTTTTATAACATATATAAGTATTATTATAGCAATATAACTTCAATACATGTAATACTTTATTTCATTATAATATTACTTAAAGCCTTGTCAGAAACAGTATTAATTCTGAACATTAAAGATAAAAATATTTATAATAAAAGAGGTATTGATACAAAAACTATTATTAAAAATGCTCATTTGTACTTTTTTCTTCATTTATAACAGAGTTATACAATATGAAGATTGATATTTATTGATTAATCTCTATACTTGAAACATATGAAGAGTGGGTTAAACATCTTTTGGTTTACAGTTATGATAATAGAATCAAATAATATAAAGAAGATTGAAGTGTGGATAATATTAAACTTGTTAAACTAAAAATAGAACAACTTTGTACAATAAAGCATTATATAAATGTTTTTTAAAACTTGATAAATATAAATAAAATAAAATCTTATTTAGAAAACCAAATTTTGATTGGATCTATAGATTATTCTAGATAACTTAATATATATATGTTGTTGCTTGTAGAATTAGACTTAGAAATTCTTCTGTTATATCAGAACAAATTTTCATATTATGCCAATAATTAGGTTTTTACATGTATTCTTGAATAGTTATGAATCTGTTTGTTTTATTAATTATACTTTTTTGGTAAGTTTTTTCATGATATTTATAGAGAAAGAAAGGTGTTAACTAACAATTCAAAGCCTTACAAAATGAATCTTTTATTAGAATTAGTATTTAAAATCTGATCTTAAATCTGTTTAATTGTTTTATAGAAGTTTGAGTGATTAAAGAATTCTGAAGCCAGATATCTAGTCAATCTTTTTAATAATGATTTTATTAGTTTTAGATTTTTATTCTATAATTTTCATAGTAGAAATTAGTTGGTTTATTAAAAAACCATGTTTTTTTTTTTTTTTTAATATTAACAGTAAGGTCATGTTTCTATCTTTATTAAAACTTAGTTAAATTTTTTACAAATAGATTATATAGAAAAAATTTATAATTGAATTTTATATCTATAAGATATTAAGATTAGAGGTTCAGACAAGTTATTTGCAACCTAAACCTAAAAACTATGTTTTGTATTTGGTATATTTTTTATAAATATAAGTGAAAAAACTATAAGTTACTACTAGCTTTTTAAAATAATATGTTTTATTATGATAGTATTAATTATCTTATAATATAAATACTTACTAATTCTCTTCATGTCTTTAACAATTATTATATAGAAAATTTTTATAGTTTGATTAGATATTGAGTACAACCATCTAATACAATAGATCAAATTATTCAAAAAACACAGATAATAGCCTTCTCTGACAATTATAATATTAGATATATGCCAAAACAACTGTTATTTTTTGAAAAATGATCTGCAATATTTTTACTAAATCTTTTTACTAATATTCATAAAAATATAAATCAGTTGATTTCAAAAATTTTGAAATATGTTTTTTTAATATAAGAAGATAACATTGATGTTAAAGTTTTGACAATAAGCTTGAATTCCATATATCCTTCATGAAATGATAAATATTGTGACTTGGAAGATTGTATGAAGACATATTAGATAAGATTTATACTTATTTGTAATTATACTTATCATTTTGAATATTTATTATTTAAATTAAGCAATCAATACAAGTATCGTATGAACTATTTTATGAGCAGAATCGAAAAGAACTGCAGAAGTTTTGATAAGACAGTGAATTCAGCTGAAGTAATAATGATTAAAAACAAAAGTAAACAAAATACTACAAAAACTACTAAGCAAAATACTACTGAGCAAAATACTAATATTGCTGAGGTTGATGATATAATTTTAGATAGTAATATAGATTAGTTTTATAATATGGCTATAATTAATTTTAGAACAATATGGAATAATTTATTAATATATTAAAGTTTTTTGATTAAAAATTGTAAGCCCGATAATGAATTGCTTATGTATCACCTATGAATTTTACTTATAGATTTTTATACATATTGTTATCCGGCTAAGTCACGTGACACGGCTAACCAAATAAGGGTGACCCGGCTGGAAAAATCAGAATCGTCAGAAAGGACCGAAATGTAGGAAAAGTCCTTTCCGACGATTAGGGCGAAGTAAGTAACGTAGTCGGTAATGGAGAGAACACTAAAGTAGTCGTAATAATTATGGTCTTAGATAACGTTAATATAGACCAAGAAAATGTATATAGTAAAATATTCTTATAAATAAAGGCCGTAAAGGCCCTAAGGAGAAGAGGAGATAGTTTGCTTTATTAAAATAGTAATTGATCCCTTACATATTAATAAATACATAAACGTCTCCCTTAATACATTAACTAATCGCTAAGTCCCCAGATCATAAAAACCCGCTTCTTGCAATTTATCTGTTCTAACCCGTAATATTGTTACACCCCCATCCGGCTGTTGTATCCTAAAGTACCAGGATCAGCCGTGGTCACTCGAGTCCAACTATCCGAAGAAGTGTGATAGTTGAGGTTATACGTGTCGTCCAATTACCCGAAGTAGTGAGGTAATTGAGGGTTAAAGTTAGTAGACAGCTCAAGTAAGGAAAAGCAAGACAAGTAAAGAAGAAATACCTACCTACGGACCCAAACCACCGACCAAATATAAACGCCTCTTTTCGACTAAGCCAACCGTAGGTTACACGAAGTTTTGGATTGTGGAGCGACTGACTCGCCGTACCTCCCGATTTCAATATGTCCCGATTGTAATATAAATTTTTATACACATGTACCTAATTGTAACCTAATTATAAATTTTTAATTTTCAACTGGAAATTTTCGCACATATGAATTAATGATCAACGCCGTCTCTAATTGGATAAAATCCCCGGTCACGGTAAAAAGTGATCTACAAAAATTAGCCAATCACATCGAAAGCCCGCTATGCTGGGTGAGCTACGAATTTCCTTATGTAAAGAAAATCTCGAGCTGCAAGCCAAAATGATATTGGTCGTAGTGTATTTTCGCGTTTGGTTTGTTACACGAGATCTTGTGATTTTATTGGATCCGGGGGTCGGAAGTGATCTTCGACGATCTTCAGCCCGGGATTTTCTTAACATAAGGGTACCCAAATTTTAATACATATGGGTCAATTCGGGACATGCATATAGTTTAGACTTAATGCCCTAAAAATGGTTAATGATGGAACAGGTTGTTTGACGTTGTATTGCTATATAGTATATAGTGATACGTAGAACTAGACGGTATCTATTATGTCTGGTATGTACATACGTACGTCCGTGATTGTGTCCCTATCGTTTATTATTTACTAAAATCGTAATTAACGATAACAGTAACGGTAAATCAATTACGTATCATATATATGTCACCGGCTAGAGTTGAGCCCGGTAGATAACAAATAATAAACTTGAAAGCCTAAAGTCCGGTTTTTCCTTGGTGTTACTCATTTGATAAACTGTTATTAAACACAGATATAGTTTATAACAATGATAATAGTCGCGATAATGGTTGTTTATTGGTAGTGGTACGTAGTAGAATTTTTAATATACATCTATAAATTCTATAAATTCTATAAATTTCCTAATGTGTATAAGTCTACAGCGAATACGTGCATTGAAATGTCATTCGTTGCTACGTACCAAAGTCTATTCTATGTATGTATTTATGTATGTATGTATGTATATATATACAGATTGAATACGTATGCAAAAAATGTATGTATATATATATACAAATTAGATATGCAAAACATGGATGAAGAAAAAGGGTATAAATGCAAGGATAAATGCAAAGTGAAATAGTAAAACTGTACAAGTTGTAAAAGAATGTAAATGTTCTTGTGAATAAATGATGGTATGTAAAAAAAAAAGGAGTGTAGTTCAGTAGTTGGTTAATTATCAGGCGGATGCCTATCATGGCGCAGATTCTGAAATGTGTATCAATTGGTTAACATCAGCAAGTTTTTGTGTAAAATTCACCACTTTTACTGTATACATGGATGATTTTAATGACAAGTAAGACAAGTAGTTAACTTGGGGAAAATGTATAATGGCGGAAGGACGTTTCGACATTGTTTGCTGCTATAGTATTTGAATATGCATAAAGACGAAGAAAGACAGAAATCATAAGCAATATTTATTAAATATTAATTTTTCAATTTTTTCACAAATTTTCATATAACCCTTAAAACTAATTTAAACGTTGTTTCCAACGTTAATTTTTCTATGAATATATGCAAATCATCAAGACGTTGCTAATATTCATTTTTTTTTAAAATATATTATTGTTCTTTGAAAGCATGATTTATAAAATTTCAAAATTTTCTTTTTTCTTTAAATCAAAACTTATGCACTTAGCAAGGCCAAAATCCCATTTCCAATATTTAGCCTCTCGCCGCATATGTTACCAACAACACTTCCACTAACTTTATTAGCCCAATCTCTAAATGTTTTATTATTATTATGAGCACTCACATACCTAACTTCAAAATGGTTTCCAAATCTTGCTTTTGTCACAGGTCCGACCATCTCTTCCTCCAAGTTCGCGCACTGAAATACTTCAAGAAGTTCGATATTCCGGCATTCTGCTATGCTATACCATGGATCACAACCCTTAAAGTTTACTCTGTCGAACCTTATATAACGTAGTGTAGATGAATGTAGTCTAAGTGGTGGAATAAATACACGAGTATATGCTTTGCAGGACGTCAGGGAGAACGATATCAAAGCGTTTTGGGACGATATTAACGAAGTGATAGCTTCTCCGAAAGAGTCGACACTCTCTTCGTCATGATGTCGAGCCCAAAGATCACTTAGATATAAATGTTCCTAAAAAAAAAAAAAAATTTAAAATAATAATAATAATAATAACGTGTCAGTATATAAATTTTATTGATAATATCCAACAATTATATATGGAGTGGATACGAACAATTTTATGACATCTCCGCGTTAGCATTAAATACAACTTTATTTTCCTGACTCTTGCATAAATGTGTAATGAACGAACAGGAGAGACCAAATTTTTCAAATTATCATCAGTCAACAATATTTCGTACATTTCATCATTGGATTTATCTAAAGTATCAGGATTTATATGTAGACCATATAATCTTGAACCATGTTTCATACAAAGTTGTAATAATGTTTTCATTATAATTTCCTCGGCATTGTTAACCAACGTTACTTTATTTTCTTCATCTATAAAATCATCATGACAATCAGGTTGTTGTTTTTGTTCCATTATGTCGGCTAATTCGGCGCACCAGTTTTCAACCGCACTTATCATTTGTTCATAATATAATATACGAAGAAAACCTGGGTAATTAAACATAGGTTTTTTATTTTCTATACCTAATTGCATTTGATTATAGTCGGACATTAACGAAATATCAATTCCTTGATTTAAAAGCGATTTTATTTCTTGATCTCCAAGACATTTTAAATACATTGAAATAACTGGAAGATAACTGATTTCTTTTCCGAATAGAAATGGTTGACTCCAAAGAATTGGAACCGCTATTCGACACCATTGTCGATTTACTAAAATACATGGATAAAGCGCTCGTAATCCTTCAATTGAATACGCTCCAGATAGTTCGCAAGGATTTGCAACATGTAAAAGAATCTCTCGAAGTACTTCGGATATAATAAATGGTGTCATTATTGGATAAATAAATAAATGAATTAAATGATTAGGAACTGGATGAAATCGTAAATGTTAATATCTGATATTAGGTTATGAACGACTATTAGGAAATTTTTTTTTTTTGAGATGAAGATGCGCGACTTTTTTACGAAAGACATTCACAACGCTTTTATAGAAATTATAATTTTCCACCATAATTGCCGAGAGTTTGAAAGATCTGCTTGGTTCACCCCCGGAAACAAAGATATGTGAACGCAGTAAATATAGTACGCATAATTACCAAAAGTATATATTCTAGGTTTATGATGTTTATAGTCGAAAATAATATACTAAATTAGCATTTATTAAATGTTATTTAAGATGTCTTGTTTTCCGAATTTAATCAACAGCAATAAATTCATATAAGGAAAATCAAATACAAAGATGCAACGGCAGTAATATGATCATGTGACTAAGTGATCTTCGAATACCTTATAAGCAAATTCATTCGATTGGTTTGATCGACACAGGACTAACTAGTCCATTATCATGCATACATAATGCATGAAATCCAAACAGAACGCCGGACAGATAAACAAGGAAGGAAACATCTAATCAAAAAAAAAACAAAGAACTAAGCTATTTAATAATGACAGTATTCGGTAACAGGTGACCTAGCTGATTTATGTAGAAAAAATATGGAAAAAAGTTATGAAAAACGAATATAATCTTATCTTTTTTTTATTTTCTCGAATTAAAATTTCATTTGACAAGTCATAACATAACTCCTTTCTTTGTAGAATATAGCTTTGTTAAAAGTAATTTGACGAAATGTGAATTTATAATTGGTCATTCTAATATCATGATGTCATTAATGATGTACTATTTGAAATTCTTTTAGTTTTCAGCAATGATCTTTAATGGATAATCCTCCCGAGAAAGGCTATCTTATCACAAAATCTCATGCCGTGCAATTCTATCTGAAATTTTAATTTACTAGAACCTTGTGCCTTCCAAAAACGATACATCTTAAATATGCCTTGATTTAGTCGACAAGGTTGACGTTTGTTTCGAAAAGATAATGGTAACACATCCATTTTTCTGTTAAAAATATGTTTAACTGTGAAACATCGCCTAAGTTATTTCGTTACAGGAGTATGTATATACTTGTATATGTGCGTGCGTACCGAATTCTAGCCTTCATAATCTTTATTAATTCGTCTGAAATATGCAGCATTAGGCTTTTATTCTGCACGACTATTTAAGGTTCCACGAAAAGTTTCAAAAGTATTGGGATGTAAAAATAATGGATAAATACAAATGACGTTTACCATTAAAATTTATTAACCTAGTGGTACATATAAATAGGAGTTTCGTGTTTGCAATAACTTTAATTGGTCAATAAATGCTGCATGTTACGTTCCTTTATCTGGTGGGATACCACATATGGATCAGTCCGTACCGTATTGAGTACGTATTCGGGGCACTTTTGATCAAACTTTGATAATTCATTGGATTATATTCTTGGGCAGATGTTCTACCTTTAGTGCAAGTCTTGTCACATAATATTATATAACGATTTATTACAATTCCTGTTCAAAGATTTTTAATATACGTTCTAAATTTAGAATTTTGCATAATCATGCATAGTGATTTAATAAAAAAAAGTTACTCAGCAAAGCATAATTCGTCTTTGCGAGGATCATGAATATACGAACGAATATCTTTAAACAATTGTGTTTGATACTTTAAAGATTTTAAGGGAATTACAGTTAAAGTTTAACATGGATTAAAAGGAACATTATTATAAACATAGTTTCTTCTTTTAAATTATTAGCTTCTAATGGTATAAATTTTTTTTCAGGTTGATCGTAATATAAATAAAAGTGGGGATATGCGCATATATCATCAATTTTGCAAAATATGGTTCTAAAAAACTTTTAAAACCATAATAATTCCAATTTTCATCATTATATCTAATTGTTACATTACTTTCATTTTTTTGATTAATTTACAATAGTTTAAACATGATTTACATTCATAACATTAGATTTACAGTAATTATTTCAAAATATGAATTACAAATAAATTTAATATGATCAGAAATCATAAAATTTAGTTCAATTGTATCAACTTATCTAATAATAATAAGTTATAAATAAAATTAAAAAATAAGAATATTTTTATTTTGAGCTTTACAATTATCATATATAAATTTTAAGTGGTTTTTTTTTTGGTATTAAGGTGACCTTTTTGGTTTTTTGATTTTATTAATGACTTTTTTGGTAATATGATTCAGTGAACCACTACAGGAGAGTGTACAATTGGCTACATGTGTAACTTTTCTATATTACCTATTTAAGAAGTCTGCCTAAAGGTTTCTCACTAATTGCTGTACCTAACACTTTTGCTTGGGTGTTTTACTTTAAACCCTCTGAACCTATAACCTGTATTAACATTATTGGATTAAGCTCAGATTATTATTTCAACTTTAGAACTAATTTATCTTCAAGGTAAATCTTCTAGAGCCTTCTGTACCTATTTTTACAGCTGATCTGGTATTACTATAACAGAACTAACACTTGCAGTCAGAGTTATATCATTTAATTGTTATGTTCTTGTAGAGTTTATACAGATTTTAACATTTACTTCACAGTATAATCCCAATACTTTAGTATATCTCTGTCTTTTGTCTAGTCTTTTGTTCAGGCTTTTAATCCAGATAGCCTATATAGAACTACAACCAGTTTATTAGTATATTAGATTAGTTCAATATCCTTTTTTTCTAATTTATTTCAATAACCTGGTTGGTAATATTTCTGAAACTCTGAATCTAGAAGTTCTTACCTATTTAAGTATTATAATTTTAATATCTGTTTTTTTAGACTAGCCTTTATAGTAGTGCTATTAAAAATCTAACCATATCTCTACTTAGATCTTTCTAAATAAATATCCTATTATTCAATTTTAATAGATTTATACAGTCATAAAGACTTATCTAATGTTTGTATTGCCTGATTTGTCAGTTTGCATTCTTCTGTATAACTGATATGCATTCATTTTTAAACCTTAATACTGAACAATATCAAAATTATAATATATTATATAATGTTTAGAAAAAACTGTCAATGAAAAGTATTTCTATTTTTTCCTAACTGGCTAAAAACTAGTAAAACTTTTATATTACACCAGTTAACTGTATATCTCTTATCAAAACATAAATCATATCTCATAATAGTACCTATGGAAATTGGTGCTCAAAATTTAAATAGCAAAATAATTCATTTATCTCTAAAAATATGCTTGAAGAATGGTTATTATCAAACTCTAATTCACTTAAATCTTGAAAATGAAACAAGATTAAAACAAATTAATATACTTATAATCAATGAAATTTCAATAGTTGATTCTGAATTATTCACTCTTATTAGTGATATTTTTGCCAAAATCTACAATAATAATCTTATATTCAGAGGTTTACTAATATTAGTTATTAGTAATCTCACTCAGCTACCATCTGTATATCCATTTTTTGGTTTTATTTCTTCTATTTGGCAAATATTTTTTTTTTTATTTCTTATCATCCTACAAAGACAATGAAATAACTTACAGTTTTATAATATTCTACAAAAAATTCATATTAGAAGGTTATTAAACTCAAGTAAATTGATTATTGAATCCAAAGTAAATTCTAATATTTTTTCTACTAGATTTTTTGACATCACTTATATAGTCTTAATTCACCAAGCTACAAACAACATAAACCAGCTTCTTTGTTCTAATCTACCATTAAATTATACTTGTAATAACCCTATTATCTTCATATTAAAAGATATTCTAAACTATAAAACTTTAAGTATTATTACAGGGTTGTAGTCTTCTTGATACAATATAACCAAATAATAAGGTCACCTGATATAGTAATTGACTATTGCAAATATATATAAGTGGAGGTGTAGTAGTTCACTTTATTACATAACAGTAAGCAAATGGTTTAAGATAGTAACAGTATATAAATTAGCTTTTATTAAATAAATACATAATGACAACTTTGTCTATAAGAATTACTCTAGAAGGAGAATATCATTTTTACAAGTTAGAGATAAAGGTAGAAAAGTTTAGGTTGAAATATAGGAATTTAGAATTGGCAAAGAAGAGTAAAAGCTACCCTTTATATATCTTTTTACCTAGTAGAAATAGTGGAGATTTGAGTAACATTACTTGATACTGTATTCAGAATAATGGGAATTCGAACAACATTAAATGATACTATGCTTGGAATAGTGGTGATTATACAGAGACAACTAGAGATATTGTTTATATTATTTGTCATTCATACTTAAAACACTTGAGGCTTATATTTAGGCACTTGGATCTGTACAAAGGCACTTGGAATTTGTGCAAAGATACTTGGAGTTTATGCAGTAACACTTGAGATTCATGTCAAAGATACTTGGGATTCTTGTACTATAGCACTTGGCACAGTAATTTGGTACTAGGATATATGAAACTTGTATTAGAGTACTTGGTGTTTGTAAGATAATAATAATATTACAGATGTTACTTAGTGTCATGTGGCTGTACCATATTTCTAATAGCCAATTAAGATCCTTTTTATCTATCTATTATTTAATATAACTATCAACTATTTAATGACTAATAATAAATATAATATAAAATATAATAATAAATATATATATAATTACTAATACTACTATATAATATATTATGCTAAAATTTACTTTGTAACATTTTTCTTCCCTTAAGAAATTGTTTCACAAAATTCTCATGACTTTTGTATCATTTACAAAAGTTAAATAATTGATTAAACCTGGCTTTACTCATATTACTAATATGTTTTAGAGTCAGTTTCTTTGTTCGATATATTTGTTTATAACTAATAGTTTTGAACAATTGATAAGTTCTAGTCCAGGCCTTAATTCTACTTGCCTTTATAGACTTGTCATAATCTGGTTTTTCTAATAATAAGGCTTCTAGATGATAGCTATAAGCTAAGCAATATATCTGATTATAGT